GACCTGGTTCCATGTTTGCTATCAGCTGGGTGACCTTTGGTCATCTAACTTTTTTTTCTTTTCTTTTTCTTTCCTAAGAGATAGGTTCTTGCTGTGTGCCCCAGGCTGGAGGGCAGGGGCTATTCCCAGGTGTGATCATAGCACACAACAGCTCCAAGCTCCTGGGCTCAACTGATCCTCCTGCCTTAGCCTCCTGAGTAGCCATGACTACAGGGATACACCAACATATCCAGTTCACCTAACCTTTTGCCTTTTGAAACATCACTTTCCCAGCTGTTAAATGAGGAATTTGGGGGAATGGTTAAATCAACACTCTCCAAATAGTGCTTCAGAAACATATTCTAGGGTCTTGTTACTAAAAAGTATGGTCCACAGACCCACACTGGCAACATCCGTACGTATCCAGGGAGTTCATTAGAAATATAAAATTGCAGGCCTCATACCAGCCATACTGAATCATTTTAACCGAATCACCAACATTTTAATAGGATTCTAGTTGATTTGCATGCATATTAAGGTTTGAGAAACACTGCTTCTGGGCAAGACATCTCAAAGGTGATCATAGAATCACTTGGATACAACTTGATACAAACACACCTTTCTAGGTCCTTTCTCCAGTCTCAACCTGAAAGCCTGGGGTGAAAGCTAGGACTCTGTATATTTAACTTAATATCCCATGGAAATCCACTTCAGTGAATATATGCATTATTTAAATTATGTTTTGTTTATATTATTTCCCTTTAAAATCAAATGATCTCTAAGTGGTATAATTCCAATGAGCTTCCTGGTGTTTTTGTAAACAATAGCTAAGATGATCATGTCAAGACCCTACGGGTCAATGGATCCCTCAGGGGAACTGTCCCAGATGCCACAGAGGTTTAGCTCACGCAGTTTTTCACAGTTTTTTGTTTGGGGGTGTGTGTGTGTGTGTGTGTGTGTGTGTGTGTTTTCGTTCGTTTGTTTTTTTATAGACAGAGTCTCACTCAGGCTAGAGTGCAGTGGCACGACCTCAGCTCACTACAACCTCTACCTCCCAGGCTCAAATGATCCTCCCACCTCATCCTCCCAAGTAGCTGGGACCACAGGCACATGCCACTGTGCCTGCCTAATTTTTGTAATTTTTTTGTAAAGACAGGGTTTCAACATGTTGGCCAGGCTGGTCTCGAACTCCTAGACTCAAGCAATCCACCTGCCTCGGCCTCCCAAAGTGTTGGGATTATAGGCGTGAGCCACTGTACCCGGCCCGTGGCAGTTTTAAAATTGGTAATTCTTGCTGGATAATTGGTTAAATGCAGGAAACATAAGGAGCTCTGATGGTGAACTCGAACAATTTAATGAACAATATTAAAATGATACTAATTTTGCAAAGCCCCCTCAAGATGATTGTCATCAGATTCACAAGCTACATTCATCTATCAAATCCTCATTTAGCACATTAAGATGTCTCTAGTACTTCAAAAACCAATCTTAAAAAGAAGAAACATAGTGAATTATATCCAATTTAGCTTTTCATTTATTGGGAATAAAGACTATCCTCACGTACAGTGTGTCACTTGCAGGAAAGTGCCTACAAATAGCAGCCAGAAATCTCTCTCATCCCCATATAACATGAAAGACATTTTTTTCTAAAGTGCATTTTTTCTTTTCCCTGCAAGCAAATCAAAAGAATTCTAAGCAAGGTCCTAAAGGCAATTCCCCCACCCCTCTGACTTTTGATGCCATTACACTAGTTAAATTTCAATTTACATTTTAATGTACACTGGTCCCCAAGTCAAATGCAATATTTAATGACAAATCATGTCTTGACTTGCATAAATAATTTTAAATAAATTAAAAAGCCTCTCACTTGCTACACGAGAAGAAACTAAATATGTGTTGCAAATATTAGAGATTATATTAAGTACATTGGATAATATAGGCTTCAATAATATTCAGACATATTTTTATTCAACTTGGGAGCTTATTACCACAAAAGTATTTTATGATTCTAAAAAGGTGGGAAGTGATAGAAAAGTGTTTTCTGGGGCCAGGCTCAGTGGTTCATGCCTGTAATCCTAGCACTTTGGGAGGCTGAGGAGAAAAAACTGCTTGAGGCCAGGAATTCAAGCAACCTGGGCAACATAGCAAATGCCATCTCTCTCTCTCTCTCTCTCTATATATATATATATATACATATATATATATATATATTTTTTTTTTTTTTTTTTTTTTTTTTTTGAGATGGAGTCTTGCTCTGTTGCCCAGGCTGGACTGTAATGGCGGGATCTCAGCTCACTGCAACCTCTGCCTCCTGGGTTCAAGTGATTCTCCTACCTCAGCCTCCCAAGTAGCTGGGATTACAGGCATACACCACCATATCCGGCTAATTTTTTTATTTGTATTTTTAAATTTTTAATTAATTTTTTTTTTTTTTTTTTTTAAGTAGAGATGGGGTTTTTCCATGTTGGTCAGGCTGATCTTGAACTCCCAGCCTCAGGTGATCTGCCCACCTCAGCATCCCAAAGTGCTTGGATTACAGGCATGAGCCACCGCACCCAGCCTAAGTGTTTTCTATTTTTACCATTGTTTACTCTCTCATGCCTGAGAGAGTTGGGGATGTAGGACTGACCCAGAATAAATTTTTATAGAACCCACATATCCATAATCTATAGAAAAATTACTAGGTTACTAAAATTTTAATTCGATTTGTTTCAGTCAGGATTAATACACCTGCAAGTGAGAGATGGTGGTGGAGAACCAAATATATCATAAAATAATAGCTGATGATTGATAAATGCTCATATGTGCCAGGCACAGTTTTAGATATAGTTTACCTCTAACTATCAAAATAATTCTATGAACTAGGCACCCTTTTATCAATGAAAACATTAAGACACATAAATGAAATAATTTTCCTACCATCACTAAACTAAGTAGTGGAACAGAAGTTGGAAACCAACAGGACTCTGGAGTCTGGGTTCCTCCCCATGCGACGCATGTATGAAAGTAGAAACTGCAGGAGCGAAGGCACACGTCAAACATGTGAGGGTGACATGCAGAAGAGCAAAGTGTTTAGAAGGACAGAGAATACTGTACACCATGAATGGCAACAGGAAACTAACAAACGTGTATTTGAGCCATTCTTTGCAACATTTTGAAAGCAAAAACAAGGTTTTTCCCTGGACAAAACCCCTGGAAGTTTCTAGCAGGCCACTGGTAATGAAGAATTAAGTGAGCAAGAAGGATGGAGATGGGGAGGACGGGCATGTGCAGAGATCAGGGAGATGCTATTCACAGTAGTTCAGAGTATAGGTCATGTGGGCCTCGGAGAAGTAAAGAACAGGAAAGGAAAAAGTGAGGGTGAGCAGAAAACAATTGAGGGGACGTATGTTGAAATCCCCTCTGCTGTTTTGCAGATAGAGCCTTGAAATTACCTATTTTATCTTGACTCAAGTCAGATGCCCTGGCAGGTCTGACTGACACCACGCTGGGAGCATAGACATGAACTTGTTAAAAGGAGATTAAATGCAAACATATTCCCTCTCTCAGCTGGCCTGCTACTTTAAAGTCATAAAATAATTGTTGGCTAAAATTAATTAACTAAATAACTATAGGAAAATATTTCCCATGGCTCTCACATCAAGAGCCTGGCTTATGAGGTGACCTCTTCTCCCTGGCCTATCAGAACTCAGGCAACACCCAGGAGAGGGCCTCCCCAAATCGCCAGAATGAAGGTGACATGCGTATTTTAAGAGGAAGATTTCATTTCCCAGGAAACATAAATGTCTCTGCAAATAGCAATTCACTCCTATTCTTAATCCCTAAACCATCAACATCTGCTATGAAGAATTACTGGAGTCCTCAAGTAAATCTTTCTCGCCCTGTATTCTTCATGACGCTCTTAAAAGGTGGTATTTGAATAAAACAACAATAACCATCTCTTCCCCCATCTCCCAGTTTCTTTCTGGAGGTGATTTTGCAGTCCCAGGCACACAAAGGAGGTTTTATGGGGATCCATAGAAGTGGAATAATGTACGTGGGGAGGGTTGAGGATATTTTCAAGGAGGAGAAAAAAAGTTTGTGTATTTATGAAACCTTTTAAAAATTATAAAAACACTAATGCTGAAATATGATAAAGAAATCTTGGTCTCTTCTGAAAAGCAATTTTCTTTCTTTCATACTTTTTTCCAAGTGTTTTTTTTTTTTTTTTTTAGTCCTACTTGGGTCAAACTAATGCAGTTTTAAAACCCATTTCTGTGTTTTAAGATTCAGAGAGAAGAGATTGAACAGTAGACTATAAAAATGCCATAATATCTTTAATGTAGTATTTTTGCAGATTTGCTGGAAAGTAAACAGTCATTGCTCAACTTTTCCCATAAGTGTCCCTTGAACTTTGTCATTGATGGTGAACAGCAGAATCCATTTGGGTGAATTTCATTCTTTCAGGAACAGGTTTTCCCTGGCATTGTTGAGCCACCTGCACTCTGACCATCTAGGCAGACTCTCTTAGCCAAACTGACTTGCTGAATGTACTCTGAAGGAAATTATCAAACTTATTTATTTATTTTTTTGAGATACAGTCTCTCTCATTCTGTCACCCAGGTGGGAGTACAGCGGCATGATCTCAGTTCCCTGCAACTTCCACCTCCTGGGTTCAAGCGATTCTCCTGTCTCAGCCTCTCAAGTAGCTGGAATGACAGATGCACACCACCACGCCTGGCTAATTTTGTATTATTAGTAGAGACGGGGTTTTGCCATGTTGTCCAGGCTTATCTCGAACTCCTGATCTCAAGTGATCCTCCCACCTTGGCCTCCCAAAGTGCTGGGATTACAGGCGTGAGCCACTGTGCCACACCTGGTTGGAAATTATCAAACATTTTAAAACACCATTTTAGAAGAGTAAATTTAAGTCCTCTCATTGACATTCTGTAGAAGCATCTGACATCTGTAAAGCCTCTCTTCAGCTCAATTTAACTCTCATTTGTGGTCCTACAAGACAAGGTCACCCACAATGTACTTACAGGCTATGCGCACAGAGGCCTTCCTGCTCTTGGAGGTACCCAGGTGGCTCCACGCCACACACTGGCACCAATAGTCCTCAGGCCCGTGGAAGTCCTCCACCTGTTGCCTGGTAACGTTGATGAACACTTCGCGGACCTTCAAGCCTGATGGTGGGAGAGATAAGAGACAAATCAGCTGAGGCCGTTGCATTTCTCAAACAGAAAGTTAAGGTTAGCCAAACCTTTTCTTTTTAATTAAACAATTCTGTTTTTAATCAAGACAAGGTTTTAATTACTTTGAGAGTAATATAGTACTGCTAATTAAATTTCCAGAGCTGAGTAGGTTGGAAAGCACACATGTAAAGTATCATCAACCAACTGTGGCTCCCATGCAATAGAATAGTTCTCACAGTACCTTGACTTAGCGCTGTTTGTCTTTCTTTGCTACTACATTCCTCATAGATTTTACACAATGTTAATTGCTGGGATTCTACAAGCCAAAGAGGCCTCCACAAACCAATGTCAGGGACACAGTTCCAAGTTGTTCTAAGCGCCCCTATGTCTGGGTGTGGCAGCTGGGTTGGGTCATTGTAACAGTATGGCTTAGAAGAAAGAGGACTCAGTGAACATTTGCAGATGGGGTGACCAGGCTGAAAATCTGAGGAAGGACCAAGGCATCGGCATCAAAGGCTCAGGACGACGAAGCCAATGGGACCGAAAGAAGGAATGAGCACAAAGAGGAGACAAGTTGAAATATATATATATATATATATATATATTTTTTTTTTTTTTTTTGGCAATGGGGGTCTCACTATGTTGACCAGGCTGGTCTCAAATTTCTGGCCTCAAGTAATCCTCCCATCTTGGCCTCCCCAAATGCTGGGATTAGAGGTGTGGGCCACTTTGCCCAGCTGCATGTGATATTTTGATACATGTACACAATGATATTTTGATACATGCACACAATATGTAATGATCAGATCAGAGTAGCTGGGATATCCATCATTTAAAATATTTGTTGCCTTTCTGTATTTTTTAATTGATATATCATAGCAGTACACATAAACCAAGTTAGTCTTAAAGCCCTGAGAAGAGAACCCAGGGAGGTCCCCATAGCAATGGTATGAGGAGGTGAAGAAAGAGGGGTTTTTATAGAAAGAGTGGCTAAGGGCACAGCAGTGAACTGAGATGCAGCTATAAGACCATAACCTTTTAATGGTTTTTTGTTGTTGTTGTTGTTACTTTACATCCTCCTTCTAAAATTAAACAAATTGTTTGGTGCTTCTAACTGGAGAGCATGAGCTTCTTCTCCACCTTTGACCAAGGACTATCAACCTTTCTTTCTTTGGGATGAACAGTTGCCCTGTACCAATGATGCAAGGGGTTAACTTGCCTCACCAGTTAACTCATCACAAACAGGGAAGCAGCCTTCACAGCCAGCATGTCCTCTCCATCCAACACACATTTTCTGAGGTTGTGCCTTTCTCTAGGATAGGCAGGTTGGGAGAAAAAAAGGGGATGCTTATTGAATTCCACCTAACTGCCTCGTGTCATGATAAACCTTGAACCTATGTGCTCTTTACATTTCCACGGTACTCTGTGGTGGTGCATGCTATGGTGTCTCTACTTTGCAGAGGAAAGAACTATGACTCAGAGAGGCTACGTCATTTGTCCACAGTCAGAGTTTGTAAATGAAGGGTCCGGTGTGTGAGCTTGGTGGTCTTACACCAAAACCAGCACTATGTTCAGGTGCCTCTTAACGATTCAATTCTGTCCCTTTATTTTAGTACTTACACTTAATTGTGGCAATAAGGTTAATACATGGAACTATTTTTTAAATTAAGTACCTAACTATGCTTTTTCCTTTAAGTCCAAAAGAAATTCAGGGGATAGAAGTGTCACTATAATCAAAATGAGTCCAGAAGTCCTGATGGAGGAGGTGGATCATGATTATATCTTGGTTTCAGGATTTAGAAAACAAGAATGAAGGTGTAGGATTAGTCAGGTTGTGGAAACGTTCCCTTCCACCCAATCAATAACGTGTTATTTATAGTGCCTGATGAGAGATGGTCATGGCCACATAAGTCACCATGTGCAGTCTGAGGTACACTTTCTAAATTTGTAGGAGGAACCCACATAACAGAAAATCATCTTGATGACAGTTGGTAACTCACGTTTCCCCTATTTGTGAAAGTACAAAAGCACTGTGTTTTCCCTGTCAGAGACTATTAGTCCAGAAAGCCGACTCCTAAATCAAATAGGAGAAAGGAAGCCTTAAAGGTGATGATTACGTTGTTCCTGCTGCTTTGTTTTTTTCCTTTCTTTACACTTTAATGAAAGAAGAAATATGAATGGGGGGACAAAGACCAGGAAAAGGCAGAGTTGGCAGGCAAAGGCAAGAGGGAAGAATGTCACAGAAAGTGGAAATAAAGGAAGGTTTTTAAAAAGTTTCTTAGAAGCAGACAAAAACATATACTGGGGAAAGGACACCCTAATTCAATAAATGGTGCTGGGTAACTGGATCGCCAAATCAGAAGAATGAAATTGGATACCTCTCACCATATACAACAATTAACTCAAAATGGATTAGAGACTTGAATGTAGGACCTTAAGTTGTAAAAATTCTAGAAGAAAACCTAGAAAAATTATTCTAGACATTGGCCTAGGCAAAGAATTTATGACTAAGAACCAAAAGCAAATGCAATAAAAACAAAAATGAGACAAACTGAAAAGCTTTTGCACAACAAAAGAAATAACAGAGTAAATAGCCAACCTATAGAATGGAGAAAATATTTGTAGACTATACGTCTCACAAAGAAGTAATATCCAGAATCTACAAGGGACTCCAGCAAGTCAGCAAGAAAAGACAAATAATCCCATTAAAAAGCAGGCAAACAACACGAATAAATGTTTTTCAGAAGAAGATATATAAGTATCCCACAAAAATAGAAAAAAATGCTCAACATTACTAATTATAAGGAAATGCAAATTAAAACCACCATAAGCTACCACGTTACCCCAATCAAAATGACCATTATTAAAAGGTCAAAAAATATTAGATGTTGGCATGGATGTGGTGAAAAGGTAATACTTACACACTGTTGATGGAAACGTAAATCAGAAAAACCTCTGTTAAAAACAGTATGGAGATTTCTCAAAGGACTAAAAGTAGATCTACCACTTGATCCAGTAATCCCACTACTGGGTATCTACCCAAAGAAGAAGTCATTCTATCAAGAACATACCTGAATTTGTACATTTATCGCACCACAATTCATAATTGCAAAGATATGGAATCAAGCTAAGGGCCCATCAACCAACAAATGGACAAAGAAAATGTATTATACCTATATCGTGGAGTGCCACTCAACCATAAAAAAAGAATGAAATCATGTATTTTGCAGTATGTTGGATGAAACTGGAGACCATTTTCCTAAATGAAGTAACTCAGGAATGGGAAACCAAATACTGCAAGTTTTCACATATAATTGGGAGCCAAGCCATGGGTATACAGGGCATACGGGGTGGTATAATGGACACTGGATTCTCAGAAGCGGGGAGGATTGGATAGGATGAAGGATATAAAACTACTTATAGGGTACAATGTACACTATTTGAGTGACAAGTACATTAAAAGCCCAGACTTCACCACTATACAATTCATTCGTGTAACCAAAAACCACTTGTATCTCTAAAGCCATTAATTTATTTTGTTTATTAGGACAGAAAGCAGGCTGGAGTGGAGCATGCATATTAGAAAGTAAAGTCGAGCAGGTTAAAGGGAGGCACTAGACTCTGGAGAATAGGGCTTGCTTTATGTTCTCCTCTCTGGGCAAATGGTTGATGAGCTCCTTTAAAGAGGAAAAGGCGGAAGAGAGAACATCCATCAAGTGCATACAGGTAGGAGAAGGTAGAGCGACTTTAATATTTCAGAGCTCCTATATTGCAGAACAGGGAGACCTATTAAAGCAGAATACACACACAATCTGAGAAGTGGAGTCTCATCAAAAAAGCATTCAATAACCTTTAAGGTCAGAAATGTATTTAAGCATTTTACCCAACTGCTACAAGAAGACACATTCATCTTTTCAGCACATAACATATTCTCCAGAATGGACCATAAGGTAGGCCACAAAACAAGTCTCAAAAAATTCAAAAAACAAAAAAAAATTGAAGAGGAGAGAACACTTCCAAACTCATTCCATGAGGGCAGCATTACCCTAATACCAAAACCAGACAAAGACATAACAACAACAAAAACAAAACTACACACCCATATACTTCATGAACACAGATGCAAAGATCCTCAGTGTAATACTAGCAAACCAAATTCAATAACACATCAAAAGGATTATTCACCATAATCAAGCAGGATTGATTTCAGAGAGGTGAGGATATTTCAACATATGCAAATCAATAAACATGACACATCATATTAACAGAACCAAAAATAACAAGAAAAAATGATCATTTAAATAGATTCTGAAAAAGTATTTGACAAAATTCAACATCCCTTCATGATAAAATCCTCAAAAAACTATACATAGAAAGAACATACCTCAAACAATAAAGGCCATATATGACAAACCTACAGCTAACAACCTACTGAACAGAGAAACAACACAACAAGGATGTCCACTTTTATATTTTTATTCAACATAGTACTGGAAGTCCTAGCTAGAGCAATCAGGGAAGAGAAACAAATAAAAGTCATCCATTTGGAGAGGAAGAAGTCAAATTAGCCTTGTTGGTAGATAACTTGATCTTATATTTGGAAAAATGTAAAGATTCCACCAAGAAACATTGGAACTGATAACTGAATTCTGTATAGTTGCAGAATACAAAATCTATGTACAAATATCAGTAGCAATTAAATATGTTAGTGGTGAATAATCTGAAAAAGAAATCAAGAAAGCAATCTCATTTACAATAGCCCCCGAGCCGCCCCCCCCCAACAAAAAAATACCTGGGAATAAACTTAACCAAAGATATGGAAGATCTCTACAAAGAAAATGATAAAACTCTGGTGAAGGAAATTGAAGAAGACATATACAAAAGTAAAGATATTCCATGTTCATGGATTGCAAGAATTAATGTTATTAAAATGTCAATACTACACAAAGCAATGTACAGATTCAAGACACTCCCTATTAAAATACCAATGA